GTTGTATAATGGGATATGTGATAGTGCTACTCCGCAATCATGAATCGTGCATGAGGAGGTCATTTATGGATCAATCAATTGACGTGGCATTCAATCCCACGTGACATTGTCTTGCGTTATCACCGGGGTGATGTCCACAATAACGGTTATTTCCTTTATCCTACTCTCTGTTATCCTGAGTCCTGTCTTCTTCTATGTTGGGAATGCTTTGAAACTGATGTAGATTACCGTACCTATTCTAGCATACTGCTTCGAAAATGAGAAATTGTGAAATTTGCTGGGAAAGGGTGATGGAAACGAAGCTGAGGCGGATGTGGGCACGAAACCAAGCCATCGTTTTAGGTGGCTTTATCCTCGAGCGGGCAGCTAGGCTAATATACCCCCCGTAGAATACTTAGAAATAGCCCAAAAGAGATGCGAATGTGTCATATACACCTGGTGCACGGGGTAAGTGCTGAATTACAGATAATGACATACAGGGTGTCCCAAAATTATGGGCGCTGAAATTCAAAAATTTATTCAGCAAAAGCGCTCGTTTAGTCTCACATAGTTTGCTAATGATTAGTTCTGCTCTACAGGGGTCCCACTGTGAAAGTAACAAGTGCATACAGCACAGAAGCGCACTAATCCACACATCCAAGTTCATGCAGGAATGGTGCATGAAGGAGTCACTGGAAGCAACACTGAAGGGAGCCTGGGAAGAAATACACGAGGAATACAGTCGATATCTCGAAGTCAGATTAGGCGTGGCTATGGATTTGACGTGGCCATTTCCGCACTTGATAGAAGCCGTGTGGATAGGCTGTTTCTAACATACTCCGTTGGATATCAGCAAAGCATGCTGGGAAGCATCCGCGCAACTTCTTCAAATGCGGCGGCCGCCACGTCAAACCCATAGACACGCCTAATCTGACTTCGAGATACGGAGTATACATGCGTGAACGTGCGCGAAACTCTTTTGGGACTTTTGGGCATGCATTCGTAGCATTTGGGGATCTGTTTGTTCCACATTGTTGTACATGATTCAAGTAAATTTATATATAAATTCATTGAGCATCTTCCATATAGAAGATCAAAATATATTGCTGTGCTTAGGCGCATATATTTTTGATACACCCTGTATACTTGTTTGATGCCAAATTATCCCCCTGTTCATGGTAATTCTGTTTTTTGATCGCTTTTGATGAAATTTATGTCCAATCAAAAGCACGGTTTCTCGCTCATTTCTCCACTATAACGTTGTTCATTTTTTGCATGAGGTAATGATAAATAGCAGAATGTGCGGAAAACCGTAGACTTTCGGATGACATCTGAAAAAATAAGGAAAGGCAAAAGAAAATAAATGTGGTTGATTTGGGATGGATAATTGTGGGTCAATTTACTACATACACTCCCTGTGCAATGTAATTGTTGCTATGAACAGGCTCAATACATATTGGCTGAAAACGTCGTGGCTGGAAAAAAGATATCGCATTATGACGATCCTAATGCTATTGGGAATACACGTTATTTGACTGATGGAGATATTTCAAGGCATCTGATAGTCGCCTTGAATAGACTGCCTGAAGTACGGATGATTATATTTGTTCTCAGAAGAGTTTGTTTTGATGAAACCAAACGGCTACGTGTTGTTCAGAGTAGCGCTTCGGTCTCTGCTCGTGATATAAGCAGATTTCTCAATGATGTTCTCAAGCTTTACTATTGAACACGCGATATGGGGCGCGGCCCCAGAGGAAGAGTGGTGTACCACAAATATTTACTGTGTGTACATTCGAGTAGAAATGGAGTAGAGCGGGACGCTTCATTCTGCTTTTGCGCCTAACGCTGAGAGTAAGAGCTTTTTTAGCAACCAGCTGAATCATTCGGAGCACTTTGGCGATTTTAGAGATTAGTTAGGTGTTGTACATCATACATATCCTTCTACATCTTATCCTATTTGCCGCACATGCTTCGTGGGTCACATATCGTGCAACTTGTTTTCATTTCACCTATTCCCTGCCCCCTTCTTTCTTGGGATGTGGGGGAACTAGTCTATGGCTTAGCTAAGGATATTTTGTTTGACTGAGATGCATTCGGATTTTCTTCATCGGAGGTTGATTCAAACTATTTTTATCGAGTGTACCTCAAATTAATTAGAGGATCGCAAAGCTCTCACTCTGAGCAGCAGCGCGCTATCTTCCTTTGGCTCGAAGTGAAGAGTAGAAGTGAAGAAGAGAAGTGTTCCTCCTAACTCCATTCTCATCTAAATGTGCTATAAATGATGATCAAGGTCGCATGTGTCGGGTAATGCATTGCGAACGGATAGAGATCTTGGGGAACCGGAAAATCAGCAAGGCATTCACGACCTTAGTAGTGCTGAAATGAGTTCGACGTCAGACGAGGAAGAGCAGCAATCGGCTTCATCATATTCTAAGATGGTGGGTCGGAGAAGATTGAGGCCGATACGTAGTTGCGAACCAGGTTCACTTGCAGAGTGCTGATGAGTCGGAATTCGACGACGAATCGGATTGCTCCTCAGCGTCCCTTTGGGAACCCAAAGAAAATCTCAAGAAGACGGAGACAGCAGCCCTAGATAAGTAATACCTCGTAAAAGGCTCTACGCTGGTGCAGCTGTTCCAGTTTTGTTCCAAATGTGTGACTAGGTTGGAAGAAGCACAACTGACTGCTGTCGGAACTCGGCCATCGTGAATTACTGCAGAAGTCAAGCACGTGTGCAACGTTGGGAAAGCCAGGAGCGCACAGTACCCCATCGAAAGGAAAGGACACACAAAGGAAACGTGACTGCCGTGGTTGCTGCTCTAAAAACTGGATCACGCTACTCGGTAAGCTATGATCGTATAACTCGAATAAGTATCACTCAGGATCCCACACTTTCAGGATCTGCAGCGTTGGGCAAAGGAACTAAATTTGGCTCTTTTCTCGAGTAGCTTCTTCTACAAGATTTTCAATTGGACAAAGCCGTCTATAGAGCACGTGTACCGATCGCCCGATTAGGGGTTAATTTTTGGATCACACAGCGCGATATGGCTAGCACTGACTGAGACAGGAGGTGGAGAAGGTTCTCGAGTTCTAGGAGGAATGGGGCCCTCAACTTGGCCACAGACGGTGCCTACGATAGTGGAGGATAGTGCAAATATAGGGACGGTGGTGGTGGCTGACACCCTTACGAAAGTGGTACTGCACACAAAAGCTTCTGCACCGTTCGGAAACAGGTGATCTCGATGTCCAACAATCAACCTGCAAGGCAATGAATGTGTATCTCTTCAGGGTATGTCAGCGCAAGGATGGAGGAAGAGGGTCTACGCAGGGCACTTAGATGGATAAATTCCATGGGATTTACCATTGCATCTGTAACAACGGACCGAAGCAAGGCGTTGGGCGTTGTATTAAGGAATTTAGAGCCGGAATTGGGCTGCCATTCGTCAATATTACGACGCCGCTGGCACCTTGCGAAGTGGCTTGGCAATGAACTGAGAAAGAAGAAGAGAGCTGAAATCAGCTTGAAAGTATCAAGAGGAGGTGCTTCACAATTTCTAGATTTCCAAAGAGCGAGATTGCGACCTT